TTGCACAGTCTGCCTCCATCTGATGTGGGAACAGGATCCAGACCCCCAGAATGGACGCTTGTAGGAGAGGTGCTCACCATGCCCGCAAATCTTTGTGAGGAGAGGGCAGCATATGTGCTCACATAAACCTGATTTTGTAGAAGCTCTGAGATAGCCTCTTAACAAAAATTATAGAGCCAAAATATTTCAAGTGCACTGTCTGATTCAGCCATTCCAGTCTTCGGTTGTGTGGATCTCCTCTCTCACAACCCCAGACACAGGAGTCAGAGACAGGCCGGAAGGCCAGGAGTGCAGTGATCAGTGATGCTTACTGACACCAATGCCCTTGTTTACCCTTAGGAAATACTTTTTCAATGTCTTTTCCTTACATTGAAGTATAGCTTTTCTGTATTTTTTTAAAAGTTTTTATTTAAAATCCAGTTAGTTAACATACAGGGTACTATTAGTTTCAAGTGTACAACATAGTGATTCGGCACTTCCATATGACACCCAATGCTCGTCCCAGCAAGTGAGCTCCTTAACCGCCCCCCACCCCTCCTGGTAGCCATCTGTTTGCTCTCTATGGTTAAGGGTCTGTTTCTTGGATTGCTTCTCTCTCTCTCTCTTTTCCCTCTTTGCTCATTTGTTTCTTAAATTCCACATATGAGTAAAATCATATGATATTTGTCTTTCTCTGACGGACTTAATTCACTTAACATAACACTCTCTAGCTCCATCCATGTCATTACAAATGACAAGGTTTCATTTTTTTATAGCTGAGTAATATTCCTTTGTGTATATACATCACATCTTTATCCATTCATCAGCCGACATGATTTTTTTTAACTGAGCATTTATAAAGCATTTATAAGCTGTGGGAAAATAACTTTATATTGGGGGGGTTAAATAATTTTAAATTCAATTTTCGCCATGCTTTTCAGATGAAAAACATTCATTTTATCTTGAAAATTCTATTCTTTGTACCTTTATTTTTCCATACTTTTCCCTTCACCTTTTGTCTATTCCTCATTTACTAGTACCTCAATAACATTATATCTGTATTTTAGTTATTAGATCCAAAAGAAGAAAGCATATGGAAAACAAGAGATTGAGGAAAGAGCAAAATTTATTAAAGGGAACAATAATGGGGAATTCTATGCCCGGTATATTCTCAGAGGATCTATGAGAGCAAACGAAAGCAATGCAGGACATGCTAGCCAGCGTGAAGCCCACAGCTGCAGGGACAACCCGCGACTGGGGACCTGAGCAGGACTTACTCCTCGAGAGCTCTGTCCAGAGCACTCTAAAGAAGAAAACTAGAAGTATATAACTGAAAATAAATCCATATATGCATTGAGTCTTGCTTCTTAGCTCTCATAGTCCATTAATAATTATAACATATTGGAAAAGAGAAAAATCCAACTTCCTGAGTACAAAAGAGAGACTGTCAGGATTTTTTCCCCTTTGTTTCAAAATTATTTATTTACGATTTTTAGGATTTTCTTTTCTTGCTCCTAACCAGAAGCACGAACAATTTCTTTGGGCAGTCTCTCAGGCCAAGCCAAGGAACTACTTTCATGATACAAAACTTTTCCAGGGATATTATCTGTCAATTGCGGTACCTTGTGCCCATTCTCCTCACAGGAAAGCTGAGAATATCCAAATAGATTTGACACTGGACTAATATGCAGCTAATGGATTAACATCATCCCTGTTTTTAAGGATCTGGGATCCGGTAAGGAAAAAGGGGCTGCAGGTAAAGAGGTGTCAAGCGTGGCCAGTTGTGGTGGGCACTGTCAGCTGGGAGCTGCTGAGAGCTGTGGGAATACAGGAGTCAAGACTGAATACAAACAGGTCAGTGCTTTGGAAACGGTCTGATGGTTCCTCAGAAAGTGAAGCAGAGAGGCTTGACATGACCCAGCAGTTCCACTCTTAGGGTTAGGTCCAAAAGAACTGAAAACACACATACACAGAAAAACCTGGGAACAAATGTTCACAGCAGCGTTACTCATGAGAGCAAAAAGGTGGCAACAACCCAGCAGTCCATCAACCGACAAAAAGATAAAGTGGGGGGGCCTATCCATATAACGGAATATTCTTCAGCTATAAGAAAGATAGAAATACCGATACATCTATGACATAGAAAAACCTTGAAAAAATTATGCTAAATGAAGTATGTTAGACACAGAGGTCACAAATTTTCTGATTTCATTTATCCAAAATGCCCCAAATAATCAAATCCATAGAGGCAGAAAGTAGATAAGTGGTTCCAGGAACTGGGTGAGTGAAGAAAAGGGAAGGACTGCTGATGGGTGTGGGGTTTCTTTTTTTTTTTTTTTTTAAGATTTTATTTATTTATTTGACAGAGATCACAAGTCGGAAAAGAGGCAGGCAGAGAGAGGGAGGAGGAAGCAGGCTCCTAACTGAGCAGAGAGCCCAATGTGGGACTCGATCCCAGGACCCCAGGATCATGACCTGAGCCAAAGGCAGCAGCTTTAACCCACTGAGCCACCCAGGGCCCCAGGGGTGGGGTTTCTTTTTGGGGTAAGGAAAATGTTTAAAAATTAGATAGTTGTGATGGTTGTACAACCTGGAGAATATACTTAAAAAAAACACACACTTGGATTGTACTCTTTAAAAGAGTAAATGTTGTGGTATGTGACATAGATCTCAAACAAACTGTTAAAAAAAAAAGATTTTGTTTAATTTGAGGGTGAACTGAAGCCAGACCCAGGCTTCCCGACTCTTCCTTTCAGTTTCCATCTTTCATAAAATAAAAAAATTATAACAACAAAAATTGTAATAGACAACATGACAAAGGAATAGTGCGATATATATTAGGAATTGGGATGGTCCAAAGAATCTTTCAGCCAATAGTTTGCACTTGCCTTGGTCACGCAGCCAGGAAGGAGTTACGTGTGGGGCAGGTGGCCCAGGGGACAGCAGGGGCACCTGGGTGGCTCAGTCTGTTGGGCGTCTGCTTGACTTGGATCAAGATCCAGTTCTTGGGGCACCTGGGTGGCTCAGTGGGTTAAAGCCTCTGCCTTCGGCTCAGGTCATGATCCCAGGTCCTGGGATCGAGCCCCGCATCGGGCTCTCTGCTCAGCAGAGAGTCTGCTTCCTCCTATCTCTCTCTGCCGGCTTCTCTGCCTACTTGTGATCTCTGTCTGTCAAATAAATAAATAAAATCTTTAAAAAAAAAAAAAGATCCAGTTCTTCATTGGGTTTGTTGCGCAGCGGGAGCCTGCTGAACTTCTTCCTCTGCCTGCAGCTCCCTCTGCTTGTGTTCTCTTTCTCTCTCTGACAAATATATAAAATCTTTTTACAAATTGAGGTATAATTGACATATAACATTATATTAGTTTCAGGTGTACAGCATAATGATTCCATATTTGTATACACTGTGAAATGGGTACAACAACTCTAGTTAATATCCATTACCTTACACAGTTACAAAAATTAATAGCTTTCAATAATTTGCATTTTACAACTTTTTCTGAGATATCAATTCCTCATGCAGAATACTGCCTGTAATCACAGAGGAAATGATAACCAATTTTCGGGAATGAGATGAGATCATGGGTTTACGATACCCCTACATTTTGGGATTCAGAGCACACTTCGCATGCATGCTCCACCTGTGGACACTGCAGACATTGTCCTGTATTAAAATAGTATTTCTTTCATTGTTCTGCTTTTGAGATCAATGTCAGATCTTAAAGGAAGTGAATATAAGGACAGTGAATAAGAGACGTGAATGGATAAAAGCTCACCACACTGGACATCATAGGTTACACAGATCCATATTTGTACTCTTGCTTCAGGGTAGCACATCTTCCTCCATCTTCCTTGTCATGCCTCTATCTGGAGTACTTTCCTTCTTGTCGCTGTACATACACGGTTCGTTTGCTAGTACTGGCTCTAATTCTTCAGAGCGCATGCATTTGAATTACAGTACAGTAATTTTTATTCATGTCCTCTATCAGTGGACACATTTTGTGACTAACTGGAAAACTTTGTGCATTTGGATCTGTAACCTTTGGGAGCATCTGAAAGAATATGTTTAGCTTCTGAGAGCATGCTGAGCTTCCTGGACTCTAAAAAACATGTCTCCACATAGGTGCTCAGTTGCAGCCAGACCCTCCAGAAACCTAAGTTCAGCCTCTTTTGGAAGGAGCTAAGTCCCCCCCTGGGACATAGAACCTGTTTCCCAGTGTCCTCTGGCGCCTCTGGGCTCTTGAATTAGGCGTCCCTAACCAGAACTAAATTTCGCAAAACTGATCTTAAAGCTCCGTTCTATATGTATTTAAAAACCAGCAAGGTAATAGCTATTAGCTCTCAGATATGACTGGACAGAGAGAGACTTAGTGGTGGTGTGTGTCCCTTTGATTTTGTGACTCTGGGGAGCACATGAAATAATGTGTACAAGCATGTCTGTGATTGGTCCAGAGCATACTCCACGAAATCCGGATCTCGCCCGGCAGAACAGAGAAGTCCCACCACATTCTCGAGCAGTAAGTAGGTTGTAGCAGTGATCACGCCCTTCGCTGTGGTCCCTCGCCTTTCCCAGGAACCTCCTCCCAGAGCCACGAACCTGGAGCTTTGGCTCTTAGAGAACTACATTACCCAAAAGCCTAAGCGCCGCAGTCCAATGAAGGCCGGGGAGAGGGGCGTTTCTGTAAGTGCGAAAGGCGGGTGGGCGGGATTTCTGGTATCCTCCCCGCTGGACGCTTGGTGGCTTTTTGCTAGGATCTACTGAAGCCGGGGTTGGTTTGTTTTTTTTTTTTTTTAAGATTTTATTTATTTATTTGACCGACAGAGATCACAAGTAGACAGAGAGGCAGGCAGAGAGAGAGGAAGGGAAGCAGGCTCCACGCTGAGCAGAGAGCCTGATGTGGGGCTTGATCCCAGCATCCTGGGATCATGACCTGAGCCGAAGGCAGAGGCTTTAACCCAGTGAGCCACCCAGGCGCCTTGAGGGCGGGGGTTTTGATGGCTTGTTCAGGCCGGAGGTGGAATGGTTGTCGCCGTTTCACAGAGATTAGTCGGAGGCTCGGGGTTGGCGAGGTCCACCCACCGTGGCCCCGCGGCTAGGGCAAGACTTGTTTGCGTCCCCGACCTAGACCCAGGCCGCTCCAGGCTCCGCTTCCTCCACCGAGTCGGATGGCGGCGGCCGCGCCCAGGGACTCGGCTGAGGTAAACGCTCGTCCCCCGGGCCCTGTGGCCCCGGTCCCGGTGTCCGGGACCGGGAGTCGGGGGTGGGCGGGTGCGCGTGTGTGAGCGCCGGCGGGCTGCGTTCGGGCGCGGGCTGCGTGCGGGAGCGGGCTCCGGGCTGAGGGGCCGCCGGGGCGGGGGCTGCAGGGGGCCTGAGGCGGGAGGATTCTGCCCTCAGGGGACGGAGCGTGAGGCGGCGGCAACGCCTTTCCTGAGAAGTTGTATTCTTGTGAGGACTCTGGGAGCTGTAGGGATTTTGAGTAGAAGAAGGACTTGATGTCAGTGGGGACTAAAAAAGTAGCCACGTTTTTCCACAGAGCAAAGCAGATTAGGTTGGGGCGTGAATGTGGATTCTTGGAGACCCGTGAGTGGGCTGGTGCAGCGAACTACCAAGAGTGTTCTGAGGGTGGGTGAACCAGAGTAGTGCCAGAAGAGAGGGAGGAAGTGGTCAGAATCCGGATAGATTTTAAAGATAGAGCCAACGGCAGTTACTGCATCAGATGTGGGTGTGATTGATAGTGAGGAGTGAAAAACCAAGTCTTTAATTTGTGCTGTTCTGTTGTTTTTCATGAACGTCTTGAAAATGGAAATCAGGAGGGCAAGGTAGGGAGGTTTCAGAGGGATCATAAGTTGAATTTTGGACATGGTTGATTCTGAGATGTCTTGGGGTAGACGTGTCCCATGGGGACCTGGGATGGAAGGTGTAGGGTTCTGGGACAACCGGCTGGGTTTGGAGATAGCCACAGGGTGAGAATAGTGGTCTGGACTAGGCCAGGGCCTGGAGATCAGATTTAGGGGTAGCAGTCTTAGGTATGTTATTTTATTTATTTTTATTTTTGTTTTTAAAGATTTTTAAGTAATCTGTACACGCAGTATAGGGCTGGAGCTTGGATCAAGCCTGGACCCCAGGATCAAGAGTCCTGAGCTTCACCGACTGAGCTAGCCAGGTGCCCTTTTAGTATGTTATTTTAAATGGTCCCTGGTGTGAAACAGAGGAACTGTCCCTCCTGGAGAGGGGAGTAGGGGAAGAAACATGCGCATTCTTGACACTTTCAATCAGAAAGAAGGAGTCCTGGTATTTGAGAGGGTTCTGTAGGGCATTCGGATCCTGGGAGGGGATAGTGACCCACCAAGGTTGGGGTGCTGCAAAATCGCTACAGTCTGATATCCTCACCTTTACTTTTGAAAAACTTGTCCTAAGAGAAACACACATTGAAAAGTTCCTCCAGTGCTAGCAGTGATTCTACTTCACTCAGTCTTGCCAAGGACTTAAAATACCTCAAATACCATATGATAGATTGTCTTAGCCTCTTTATGTTTTTGACTAAAATTTTCCATGGACAAACTCATTGGGGGGATCTTGCCTCACAGGAGAGTCTTACCAAAGCATTTCTCTAAGGGGGGGGAGCAATAAGAGGGGGAGACGAATCATGAGAGACTATAGACACTGGGAAACAAACTGAGGGCTTGGGGGGGCGGGGGAATGGGTTAGCTTCTTGTTGGGGATATTAAGGAGGGCAGGTATTTCGTGGAGCACTAGATGTTATATGCAAACAATGAATCATGGAACACTGCATCAAAAACTAATGATGTACTGTGTGGTGACCAATGTAACACAATAAAAAAATTAAAACCAAAAAAACCCCAAAGCATTCCTCTAATACAAGTTGTTTCAACTCAAGAGATGTTTCTGTTCACATGCCCTAGATGTGATTTTTATGAGTATAGTGGAGGGATAACTCCACCTGTAACCGTCTTAGCTTGGACTTTTTTTTTTTTTTTAAAGATTTTATTTATTTACTCCACAGAGAGAGATCACAAGTACGCAGAGAGGCAGGCAGAGAGAGAGAGAGAGAGAGGAGGAAGCAGGCTCCCTGCTGAGCAGAGAGCCCGATGTGGGACTCAATCCCAGGACCCTGAGATCATCACTCAAGCCAAAGACAGAGGCCCAACCCACTGAGCCACCCAGGTGCCCCCCCCTTTTTTAAATTGAAATATAGTTGACACAGAATGCGTTAGTTTCAGTGTACAAGTCAGGTTTATACATTATTGGCTGGGACTCAAGAAGCACATTAACAAGAGAAAAATAGTTTATTGATGTGTGCAACACAGATGGGAGAAACCTAAATCAAAAGTAACTCAAAATGGTGGCTCAGAATTCCAGTTGATGTAGCATTTTCTTCCTTTCTTTCTTTCTTTCTTTCTTTCTTCCTTCCTTCCTTCCTTCCTTCCTTTCTTTCTTTCTTTCTTTCTTTCTTTTTTTCCTTTAAAAGATTATTTTTTTATTTATTTGACAGAGAGAGAGAGAGAGATCACAAGTAGGCGGAGGCGAGGGGTGGGAAGCAGGCTCCCCACCAAGCCGAGAGGCTTAACCCACTGAGCCACCCAGGCGCCCCTGATGTAGCATTTTCAACAAAGAACAATAAATCTGTAGAGAAATGACAGGAAGAAAAGTAATGTTAGACTTCCAAGGGCAGCCCAGTGTGGGACTCAGTCCATCATTACCTGAGCCCAAGGCAGATGCTTAACTGACTGAGCTATCCAGGCGTCCCCCTTCCATGGGGTTTTTAAGACAATCTTCACTGAAATCAGTTCTCTTATGGAGCCATATTTGTGAAAGACTGCTTAAGATTATGGCCACACCAGGAGCGGCCACACCAGGAGTACCTGGGTGGCTCAGTTGGTTAAGCATCTGCCTTGGGCTCAGGTCATGATCCCAGGGTCCTGGGATCTAGTGTCACATCAGGCTCCCTGCTCAACGGAGAACCTGCTTCTCCCTCTCATTCTGCTGTTCCCCCTGCTTGTGTGCTCTCTCTATCAAATAAATAAATACAATCTTAAAAAAATATAAAAAGGTTATGACCACACCAATTCTAGTGTGTAGGGGTGGGTTTACCCAAACCAAGTCCCAATTCTCTGACCCACCTTGGTATCCTACAGTTCAATTGAAATCTGACACTATTTACCAGGAAATCTGTCAGATCTCACATTAAGGATTTAGTCCTCTAAGACTGTCTGCACTTCCCCCTTCAGGCACCAGTCACACATCCATGTTCTCACCTCTTGTTTCTGACCAACTGGCTGTAGTCTGGAGGTTCCAATGACCCCCACCCTTCTCGGGTCTGATTAATTTACTAGAGTGGCTCACAGAACTCAGGGAAACATTTTACTTAATAGATTAATGATTTATTGTAAAAGGATATAATTCAGAAATAGCCATACGAAGGGCAAGGTTTGTGGAAAGGCACAGAGTGTCTGTGCTCTTTCCTGATACACTGCTCTCCCTGAATCTCCACTTGTTCACCAACCTGGAAGCTCTCTGAACCCTGTCTTTTTGGGGGTTTATGGAGGTTTCATTATATGGGCATGATTGATTAAATCCTCAGCAGTTAAAGATTGATTGAACTCAGTCTCCAGCCATTCAGATCTCCAGAGGTCAGGGGTAGGACTAAAACTTCCAACCCTCCAGTCATATGGTTGGTTCTCTTGGCAACCAACCCTCATCCTTACTTAGATGCCTTCCAAAAGTCACCTCATTAACAAAAGAAAAGACATCTTTTCTCTCATCATTTAGGAAATTCCAATGGTTTTAGAAGCTCTGTGCCAGAAACAGGGACAAAGATCAAATATATATTTCTTGTGAATCACAGTATCACACTGACCTGGTAAATACACCTATGTTCATAGAGAATTCAGAAAACTTTTAATCTGTGTTGTGGCTTTATTTTTGCTTTAGTGAATGTGTTTAAATGCTCAGTGATGAAAAACCAAAATGATTGTCTTGTGAATGTTACATTCTTTTTTTGAATATTATATTCTTTTTTTTTTAACTTTTTATTTATTTGACGGAGAGAGAAATCACAAGCAGGGAGGCAGAGGGAGAGGGGGAAGCAGGCTCCTCACCCAGTGGAGATCCCAATGCAGGGCTCGATCCCAGGACCCTGAGATCATGACCTGAGCCGAAAGCAGAAACTTAACCCACTGAGCCACCCAGGTACCCCTGAATATTATATTCTTAATATTACCTATATGGTTATTCTCCGATTTCTCTCTGAGAGAATAGGCAAGAGCAAGTAACTTATACGTTTGTACCCACAATTCTTTTCAGTTTTTTACTTTAAATATTTTATATATTTGAATTATAAATAGATTGCCATACTGTATTAAATGCATAGGCAAACTCTATGCAGTCTGTAATAAATGATTCTTCATTACAAAAATAGAGAAAAGCTAAAAGGAGTGGAATGAGGTAAGACACAAATACTAAGAAGAGGGTTGGAGTGATTATATTAATATAAGAAATTGTCAGCTTTAGGGAAAGTAATATTACCAAAGATAACATAAGGACATTTAAAATATTAGATAAAATTTAATCAAGAAAATGTAAGAATGCTAAATGTATTTGTACATAAGAATAAGCCTTCAAAAATTCTTTTAAAATATTTTTTTCCATTTTTATTTTTTCCTAAAGGAGACAGAAAGCACACACAAGTGGGAGGGGCAGAGGGAAAGGGAGAGAGAATCTCAGGCAGACTCGGCTGAGCTCAGAGCCTGACTTGGGGCTTGATTCCTTGATCCTGAGATCACGACCTGAGTGGAAACCAAGAGTCAGAGGCTTAACTAACTGAGCCACCCAGGTGCCCCTATTATTTTTTTTAAGTAATCTCCATGCCCAAAGTGGGGCTTGAACTCAAAACCCCGAGATCAAGGGGTGCATGGTCTACCAGTGGAGCTAGCCAGCAGCCCCCCAAATTATTAATTAGTAGAATAGACCCCAAAACAGTAAGGATATAGAAGACACCACCAATATCATCAGCTAACTTGATTCAATAGATATGCATAAAACATTGCTCCATATTGCAGCAGAATGCACATTCTTCTCACCTACACATGGATTATTCACCAGGATAAACTAAATGCTGGGCATAAAATAAATTTCAGTAAGTTTAAAATTGAATTACACAGAATATATTCTCTGTAAC